CTTTAACGCTTAGCGTCACTCTTTAATCATTATTCGCTTATGATGTTTTCAATCAGTTGTTCAAACATTTCTAGACCTCTAACTATACTTTATGTTCTTCTAGCAATATCCCTCTTTTTTTCAAGAATATGGTGTAATTTTAAATCAACTGTTTTGTTTTGCTGATATATATCTTGCATATTAGATCTGTCAAAAGTTTTTCGTTCTGTACAATGAGCCTAACTTTTTGAAATTGCAGCAAACAAAGAATCATAACATTCTAAAAGCGTTTACAGTGGCGTGAAATGAAAGAAGAAGTCTCTGCTCTCACAGGCTGATAGACCTGTAGTTTGACCATAATACGAGAAATCACTGTAAGCCAAGATGACAGCTAAATACATCTGGGATTTGGTTTAAGGCAATTTAAATTCGTCTATAATAAAGTGTTTCTGGTATTCTGCTATCGGGTGCGTGACAATCATAAATGAATATCTGAAATTTAGATTTTGAGTAGAATTTTTAGGGTAAGTTTGGAAAAATCTGCTGCGTGCCACCCATTACTTCACAAATTGTTTAATCAAATCCAAATAAATGCTAGATCTTGGGATTGAGCTTTTTGCAAACATTACACAACGGATAAATTGAAGGTCTTCGAAGCAAAGTTTATGAAATTCGTATGCGGCAATATAATACTATTTAACACAGCTAAGCTTGCTGATTAATTTTTTTTTCTTGAAATTAAATGATCGAGTTTGCAAGAGAAAAGAAAATGCCACTAAACCATCCAAATGAAATTATATGTTTTGCATAAAAATTCATTATTTGGGTCATGTCAGAAAAGAGAATAACATTACCTACAGTACTCAATTTAGTGTACAAACGTCAAGCAGATGTTACCGTCGAAATTAGTATTGAAACAACAGCTATGGCCGAGACCACGGCTGAAGAAACAACAGTTGCGGAGACGACCGCTGCAGAAACCACGGTCGAGGAAACTACGGTAGCCGAAACCACAGTAGCTGAAACTACGGCTGCCGAAACTACGGCTGCGGAAACCACAGCTGCGGAAACTACGGCTGCAGAAACTACGGCGGCGGAAACTACCGCAGCAGAAACCACAGCTGCAGAAACCACGGCTGCGGAAACCACTGCTGCGGAAACTACAATGGCAGAAACTACAGCCGCAGAAACTACCGTTGCAGAAACAACGGCTG